TTGAAAGAAAAATAATTAAGTAATGATGAAGGACTCCCATTCTTGAGAATTTAGTAGTCACTCAGCAGGTCAAGGTATTTCATGCTTTTTATGGGACTTGAGGTTAAAACCTGAATGCAACAATGGTTCCTACCTTTGTCCAGAAGAATCAAGTCCACATGGTCATACCTCACTTCTCTAAGATTGTATTATTATTATCTTGATTACCTCAGTGATTATTAGTTTGTGAGGAAAGTCTCTGCATTGGCGATAATCAATGACCCCAATAAGTTTTCCACATTTGGGAGTAACACTGAGAAGTAAGTGCTGGATAAAATTTTGAATGAAGTCGACATAAGTGACAGTTTTTGATAATTACTATAATCTTACTGGCATTTTTATAAATAGATATAATAGCAGAATAAAAAATCAACAATAATACATAAAACTACAGCTATGTTCAAGAAAAATATAACAGAAAGTTTGTTTCCATGTTGCAGGATCAGTGAAATTCAAGACACTATTCTGCTGAAACTGTGTCAATACAAAAGTTTCCCATATGTGATTTACCTTATGAAATTACATTCATCACTTAGGAACATTTAGACATAAATGTACCCTCATTTCTATAAATTTGATTACATTTTAAAGAGTGCTTTAATGGAGAGGATCTTTGTAGTGTATAAGAATAAATTTCAAGGATTCTATCACCTGAACCTGCTTCAGATAGTCCTTCCATGGTTTCACACAAACACATGAAATATACCTGAATGGCTATAAATAACATAATTTTAACAATCATATTTATTTTGAATAAAACTAGATTAATTATACTTCAGTACCCAGTAAACCTAATAATAGACAGCGTCCTACAAGTCTGTTACATGAAAATGACCAAATGATATTTTGCAATCTCACAGTCTTCCACAGTCTCAATTCCATTTGAGAAATGAACAATAATCCTAAGTCAGATTCTGTTGATATGGCACTAGTACACAATATAAAGTTCATGCTCAAGAATGAAACTATCAATGGTACAGGCAAATATTATCCTCCACAAAATCATGATTACAGCAGATGTTCATATTAAGTTTATTAACAATAGGAGAAGTTGGATGACCACACAGTTTGTTGGAATGACATTCTGTCATAGATATGTTACTGATAGAAGCAACCTGTCTGACTGAAGTTACAACTGACCATAGGAGCAAAAATGGATATAAATGTAATTAATGGGTTGTGATGAATGTGTTACGAACAGACTTGGATAACATGTAGAAGGACACAATTTCTCTGTTCCTCCTCTTTTCTCCATCTCACTGCACACTGTGCTGAAGGGTTTGTCATACAGTTGTTTGAAATGCTGCACTGAGTTTCTGAAAGGGAGTACTGTCTTCCAAAATCAAAACATTCCGTAACAAAATGTAATATAAAAACAATTAAAGAGATTTGATTAATGGTTCTACACAAACATGAAGTGATGTAGGTTTTCAGATTTGGGAGCAAAACTGATGTTTATTTATTTATGGTGTATTTAACAATGCTAACAGATGCATGGGCTATACAGCATCAGATGGTAGCCTGATTAACAAATAATTAATTAGATAGGATGTAAGTAGAAGAATCTTAAGTACAAATATTATGTTTTGGGGCATTATCAATCGTCTTGTCTTTATATAAAAATCGTCCTATTTATTTTTCAAAACACAACATTTCAGAGTCTGGATTCTGTCTCCATCTTCAGATAAAACCTACTCAGTTGAGTTCAAATGATAGAGCTGGTCCTTATCTCTGGACTGGAGATAGCACTATCAACTGGGCCCAACTGAATAGGTTTTACCTGAGATGGAGACAGAATCCAGTCTCCAAAATGTTGCATTTCGAAAAATAAACAGGACTGTTTTTAGATAAAGACACAATGATGGATAATATCTAAAAACATAATATTTGTATTAATGCACCATCGTCACAAACTTTTAGATCTTATTTAGAAGAATCTTTATCTAATTTGAAGTACTATCCAACCATCTCCCTAGAGAGACTGAGGAAAACTATGAAAACCCTCAGTCAGCCTAGCTGGTGTCCTGGATAAGGTTCAAACAAGGTATTTTACAAAGAGACATCAGAAGCAACACTGCTCAAGTCAACTTGCTTAGTAACACTGATGTTAATACTATGCATGTAAATTATTGTTATCTACAAAACATGAAAATATGTAATTAGAAAGCAACCTAATAAACGAATATTCATAGAAGACTTCAAATGCACTGCATTAAAAAGAAACATTATTCTGCAGTAGAAGTGCATTCTTATTCAATTGGTAATGCTGATGAAGAGTTCAGAGGCCATCAAAATTAAATTGTAGGATTATTTACATTTTCTGCATAAGCCTTTATCGCAGTATTTTAAGCAATTTGTGACAAACCTTTCACAGAGTATAGAAATTACATTCATTCAAACATTCATACACACATTTATATGAAGGATGAAAAAAGCACATCAAGATACTCTTTAATATGGTGAGGCTTATGGGACAATTTGCAATCAGACAGAGCTGGCCAATAAAAAGTAATTAGTATGGAGAGGTATAGATCAGGGGACAAAATTACATTATGCCACATTGACAGCAAAAACAAAATAACAGAAAAGCTAATAAACGTGGTACTGAAATTATATTAATCCCAAAATAAAACTGTGCTGTGTAACACTGATGTGGAGTCTACATCTACAGTTGTGATTGGAATTAATTATGTGAATTATGGGGAATACACCAAAGATTCTAGAAGCTGGTGCCCCGGGATTTTCACAAGTTGAAAAAAGTGGAGGAAGTGAAACAATAATATTTACAACAGGGTTTAAAAGTCTTAAGTACAATCAAATAAAATATTACCCTGGAGAAATGGTTGTCATAATGCCATGCCCAGGGTCAATGCAACTTTCCTACACTGGCATTGTCTCTGTAATTAAGAGTTAGTTATAACAGAGACAAATTTACTTAAGCACTCTCTCCACAAGAGAAGAAGAATTAACGTGGTTAGTTTACACCTTAATTTTGAAGTTTATAGAGGGCACAAACAAGCTTTATATTCTCATTGCTTCTTTATAATCCATGGATCATATATTGTCAAAGTAAATGTTAAAACTCTAAAAAAATTAAAGTATTTGGACAGATTTTGCTACTAATAAAACAACTTACCTGAAGAACCAAGATGAACATGTTATCAGAGGTATTTGAAGTGACTTATTTTGTTGGTGTAATAACCTCCTTTATCAACAGATAAGGCATTTTCATCAAACTGAGGTTTTGGAAGTGTCTGTGCCTTCTTTGGGTTAACCAACTTAGAAACGAAAGAACTGGTGAAAATATAGGCTTGCTATTGCCCTTAATACACAAGTTGTTTATCTTAATCCTGAAGTTAAGGAATGTTACAAGAAAGTGACATAGCAAGAAAGCTGCATTAGTTGTTCTGCTTTACATGTACAGTGTTATGTATACATATAACACTGTCTCTATTATATATATTTATGTTATATTTAGAACTTAATTAATATATAAGACAAAATACTTTGAACACCTGAGCTTTTCAGGGGAAAAAAAACAAAGTACTCTTTCATGTATATAAGTGGGCATGGCATCAAAATATTTAATGCGAGAAAGCTGGATACATTCTTAGACATGGCAAGGCACTTTATGATAATACTGAAATTTTGTAAGACAATGAAAAAAGTGAGAGAAAATATGAAAGTTGGCAACTTTAATGCAATTTTATAACGTTAACTGTCAAAGCCGGAAGACTATCTCTTTATTCTGTGCAAAATACAAAATCAGATACAAATTTAGTACATGAAAAGCTTGAAGCCCCATGAAAGTTACAGTGGTTATTATCTTTAAAAAGTCTAAGAATGAATCCTTAAGTAAATTCCTTGGAAATGAAAGGCACATTATATTAGCATATTTTTCTCAAAAGAATTTAGGAATGATGTGTAATGTAAGTTATACAGTAGAATCAAAATTTTATCCTTTCATTAGTGACATGTAATTTAGATTACATAGTGGAATCACACTTTGATGCTTTTCTGGAAATGATGAATTACGTCTTTGATCTATAATGAATAACAAGAAGAAAGAGTGCAACATAAATTGCATCAATCATTTTAGGCTGAGATGATATTTTTGATACCTATGTAGATGCTGTAATGTCAAGTAAGAACTGTCACTTGTACACGTTTCTATTTATGCATTAAACGAATGCAAAATGAAAGTCTGTGGCCTCCAAATTGGGATACATCTTTCCACTCTTGTTTTATTTTGAATAGGAAATTCCCCAGTAAACTGTTGTTGACTTGAGTGTCATAAACATAACACTACACTTCTCTTAGACTACAGCCACTCTGAAAATATGTTGAACTGCATAAATTTTGTGATGTATCAGACTTTATTCTTGCATGAAAGAGATGCTGTCTCTTAAAGTGTAATGATATTATTTTGTGAATATGAAGTAGAGAGATGCTATAAATATGATTCTGTAAGGGTTACAGTTTGTGTTATTTTCATCAAGCTCTCACTCAGACGCATTGTCAAGCATATAACAACGGAAATAATAATCAAATGTCTCAGTTACCTGTTCGATGGATCTGTACATTTTAAAAATACTAAATAAGTTAATTACTTAATGCATGAAATCAAACGTTTTATGAGCGAAATGAGGGACTAACGACATAAATCTTTAATGCAGGAAATGTGATATTATATTCAAATTTTTATGAAGTTTAGGTTTTTATAAAGCAATTTTTAACTATTACCGCGATGTTAAAACTATAATCATTAAAGGCAATTCCACTACATTTGTTGTATGTTCCTTTGCATTTCAGTAATCTTAAAGAGAGTAAGTTTATTTGAATTCAACGATTACAGAAACAAGACAAAATAAAGAGTCATTTTTTTATTTCCAAGGAGGCTGCAGTAACTGATAACTGCTGTGAACTGTAATCTGTGTATCATGACATGAAGACAAACTTACCTTTCCTTCTGTCTCTGGGGTCCATGCGCACTCCATCCCTTGGAGGAGGAGGGGGACCTCTAGTCCCGGGACCGTGTCCCCCGCCTCTTCCACTACGGTCTTGTGGAGGTGGTCGACCCTGTCTGGGTCCTCCGCCTCCATTACTATAATCAGGAGGCGCTTCAGTCAAGAAGTTGGAAGGAACCAACCCCCGAACCCCATCCAATTCACCCATGTAGAAACCATCGTCATCCATATCACCATAAACATAGATGACATTGCCCGTCTGGAATGACAACTCCACCTGCAGTGAGATCCAGACAACTCAAGATATTCACAACACAGTAGTAAGGAAGACTCTTCTGATGTTCTTCTATGAGAATAAGTCATTACCAGAACTGGAAGTATGTAGAAAATAAAATCAATTCATGCTAATAGGGTACTTGACCTTGATAAGCTTCATATAATAAGATCTATGTGTAGTGAAATTCAGGGGACTCATATTTTTGCACTTAAATGTATAAGAATTATTATCAGAACTGAAAAATGTTTCATAATGCACTTTGATAGAATTAAAAGGAAAGGTGAAGGGGGGGGGGCCGATAGATGACATGATAGTAAACATGTCTCAATACTCTTCTTGTGCCCTCCTTCAATACACATCAAATTCCTTCTACCACGACTGCTGCGAGAGATGAAATTTATTTGAAAACGAAATAGATATAAAAGTTAATAAAATAATTGAACATGAGAAAGAGGGTGTGAAAATTTGAGGAAAGGAAAGGAAAGGGAAAGTCAATGGCAATGGAAGTAAACGGGAAAATGTAAGGGAGGAAAAAATCTCGAGGTGTTCAAATTTTACACTGATTATATTGGAGCATGTCCACTGAAAGCTGGAATAGTTCAATCACAGAAGAGACCTGTTGCTAGGTTACAGCATGGTAAAAACACGATGACACGAGTTAACAGAGATTCGTGTCTATACAGTGGCTGATAAGAAGCATGTGACTGCAGCAACTGTTACGCACACAACAGCAGAGGAAGCACTGGAAACTGGGTTCTTAGTTGGGTCTGGTCAGAGACAAGGTCAACCAATTTGGAAACATCTGCAATTTCATCCAACTGATAAAGCCAACATAATCACAGACTGCTTAGAAAACCAGTTCAGTGTGCTTGATTTGTGTGACTGTGGCCATATATGACACATGGAGGCTCAAGCCTGCTGGCTACCATCGATGAAGATATCCCCACTAATTTCCAACCCTGTGATGTCTCAAAAGAAATACAATCCTTGAAATTATAAACGCCTGTGGTTTTGATTGCATTCCAAATGAATGTCTTTGGCATCTTCCAAGAAGACATGTTGTGCATTTAACACATTTATTCAATCACTGCCTTTGGCTTGGTTACTTCCCGAGAGGCAGTTTTCAGTCAACACTAGCCAGAAATAGTGAGCAGTAGCCAGTGGAGGCCAGGTGTAGATAGAAGTCAGTGGCCAGGAGTTGCAACCGTGAGGAACTATGAAACTGTCGGCAGCCTGTAAGGACGTGAATATGGAAGCTGAGGAATGTAGAGAGTTGGGAGCTGTTACCAAGCATCAATTGCTGGAGACAAAGCATACTAAGATGCTTCACTGAATGCCATAGTGAATTGTAGAGAGTGTGAATTAGTGATGACATTATAATTAATTGTAGTTAGTGTTTCAAGAGTCCAATAAATACAGTTATGAATCCAAACCCCATCTCTAGTCACTTAACATGTGACAATATTTATACATCTCTTTTTCCCTTGCTTCCTTACACAATTTTTAGAACAAAAAATTGGGAAATGGATTCATCATTCTGCACAAATTTGGGATTCCTTCATTTGTAGGCATGTGAACATGGAGTCTTGACATAATTTATTTACTTGTTACTCACTCACAGCAATTAAATGCAAAGTTTCATTTTATTTATATTGTTAATGTAAAGTTGATTTGGGGGATATATTAACATGAATTAGCTTTGTCATCTACACAACAACATACAGAAAGTAAAGGAAACAGGCCAACTAACTAACTCAATCACTCACTCACTCAATGAGGAAGTGTCCTTACTGAGATCCCAACAGTTNTACAGAAAGTAAAGGAAACAGGCCAACTAACTAACTAACTAACTAACTAACTCAATCCCTCACTCACTCAATGAGGAAGTGTCCTTACTGAGATCCCAACAGTTGTTCAATGGATACAGAATTTTGCTGACCTATTTGAAACCTGAAGGTTCATTAACATATTTGAATGGGCTAACAGATAGTAACAACGTTAAAAACCTAAAGAATTATAAGATTATAATGAGATGCTTACCTCGGCATCAACATTTGGTGAAAGCTCTTGTGGGTCGTAATCGTAGAGAGCAATCATCTTTTTGACTGGCATGTTGGCATATATGTCTCCCCAACGATCTCTTGGCCCACCACGACCTCCTTCCTTTAGAGTATCCTGTACTTCTACCACCATGTTATGTGGAACAAAACCCCTCCTACCTCTGCATTCACCCCAGTAGAAACCATCTGCATCTTTATCCCCATAGACCTGAAATAAAAGAAATATTTCCTCTATGAACAGTAATACACAGCTGCAAACTAAATAAATGCATGTATAAGTAGAAAATCATAGGTTAGTATTCTCCATACTCATTGCTGTAAGAAATTCAGATTTCACAACACCCAGCTTAATGAAGGAGCATTCTACTACTTAGTCTCTACATGAATAATGTCCAACCATATTTCAAACCTGTTATTTCCAGTACCTGAGAATGAAATATTTTTTATTTTCAAGACAAGGGCACCACACAATTGTAACACACTTTATCACTAACAGCGATGAGAGCTGCTAGGAAGTGGGATGTACCTTCTTTAAGGTGGAATGGGTACCTTCACTGCACATTATGCACCTGCACATATATAACAACAACATTCTTTCAATCAACATTACCAGCAGTTGTATATTAAGTCTCATGGCAAGTTTCTTAACTCTGTTATTATGCCTAGAACTATCAGGAATGTGTGGCTATACAAAAGTAATGGAGACAAACTTAAGCAGAGAGTACTTTACCCAACACAAACTACAGATGAATAGACTTGAAAAAAAGAATTCATATCCTAAACTATATTACAAAACATAAAATCCATCCTTACGAGACAAAGGCCACCCGCCCATCAACTTGAAATGGAAAGAAGACTCCATGGATCTGAGCCCAGTTGAGAACACATTAGACAGGAAAAGTGACGAATTAGAGCAAAAAGGAACCTAAGCCCAGATGTCTGCCAGATACAGAAAATATCCAATAACAAGGAAAGATGATTTTATGGTCAATACGTCTGTCAAAGAGAGGGATCTAATAATTAATGATAGCCAGACAAACTGCCCTCAGCAAACTAGCTATAACAAAAAAAGCTAACCTACAAAACAGTAAACTGAATCAAGCAACCTGAATCATAAACAGAACCAATAGTACAATAAAATCGACAAAACATAAGATATTAAAAATATTCAATCAGAATATACAAGGCCTAGAAAAACAAAAGGAACGAACTAATAAGCTCCCTGTATTAAGCTATTCCACACATATTGTGCTTCACTGAACACCAGATGAAAAGACTAGAATTAGAACACACCCACACAGAAAACTACAGATTAGGCGTCAAATACTGTAGGCAGTCAATGGAAGGAGGAGGAGCGAGTATATTTATTAAAAAAAAAACATAAATTTCACTAATATTAATATAGAGGAGCACTGTCTTGACAAAGACATAGAAACATGTGCTCTCAAATTAAAATCCACATTTTTAATATATTGTGACATGTTGACCCTTACCTCCCCAGCTGCACGTAGCGGTAACGTAGCGCTCGCGTAATAGGCGAGTAATCACCCCACAACTCTCCCCGTACTGACGTCACGAGCGGAGCCGAAGTGAGCCAAGAGGAGCTGACGTTAGCTGAGTCCCCGCAACCTTGAAGCTATGCAAGCGAGTCAACAGCAGTGACGTCACCGAGGGATATCGCGGTTGCTAGGCAGCAGTCAACAACTCCGGACAGCGTGGCTAGCAACACGGCGCCAGACGACAATTGTCCGATCGAGGCTACATAAGGAGCAGCGAAGGCTATTCACAGTCAGTCCTGGAGCTACCTCCGAGTCAGTCCTCGAGCTACCTCCGAGTTAGTTCCGAGTTAGCCAGCAACTAGTCAGTTGTATTCTGGCATTT